TTGTTTTGTATATTTGATTGAGGACATTTTTCCAAAACTTTGCCCATTAAAAATTAGGTGCACTCAACCCCAAAAAATCCCCCACCCACCCATGGGGGCTGGGGAATTCTGGGAGTTGAAGTCCACTCATCTTAAAGTGGCCAAGTTTGGACAACACTGGATTAGGATGACCTCTGTTTTCTTGGCATCTCATTTTCACAATGTGTTTTATCAATGTTTAATAAACCTATTTCCAGTCAGGCCCCCAGTAATGGCCAACGAAACCTTTTTATTTATTATCAACACAGAATACAATCATGGTCGTATTCAAAAACTATTACAGTTCTGTTGACCAACATAGGTTTCTCAAATATTTTCAGAGAAGGTAATCCAAAATACTAAAACATTAATACTATGAACTATTTAGGCAAAGAAAAATGAGCTTTCACACATTTAATTAAAAATACTTTTTCTTATTCAGTAGCTCCTGGTGCCACTTGGCAAATTGCTTCAGAAAATGAGGAGAATTCCATGAAAACAGGGGAGGTGGGAAGCATGTATTGAATGATGGGAGAGGGACTCGAAAATGTGCTGTATTGGAATAGTGAAATTACTGTATGAACTTAGGCAACCCTAAGAATTAATGGAAAAAACTCAATAAAATGCATACTGTCCATTCATTAAAAGTATGAGTAACCTGTTGGACCAGACCAACACCTCAGTCAGAAATGTCTGCCTCTAATTCTAGAGATAGTATATAGATGAGACTTCCCCAACTTCATGATCTTGAAATATGTTGGACTTCAGTCCCTATAGTTTCCCACATTTCTGGAGAGCTCTAAGTTAAATAGAGATAATAGAGATTTATCCTTAATGAATAAACCTGCTGCTCTTTTAAAGGGGAAGTCATCATTGGCCTGATGACCGTAAATTCCATGGTTTATCCATTGCACAAAGCAGCACTCATTTTATTTATCCTGACTCTCCCTATATCTCACAGAATAGGAATGGGGAAAGTCTGGTTCTCCATGGGGCTGAGTTTCAACTCTCAACATTTCTCATCATTAGCAATGTGGCCAGCTTTTGCCGAGAGTTGTATTTCAACACCTGGAGTGCCATACATTTTCCACCTATAGTATAACAAATTGATGTCTTTGTCTCTCCCACCACAACACTGTATATTCATCTTCATTCTTTTGATTCCCATAATTCATTTTGATTGGTTTGGGTTACAATTAGGGAAGCTTAAATCTGAAGTCAGGCATCTGAAGTAGAGTAGAGTAGTTAGGGTGCTGGACTAGGACTTGGGAAACCCAGATTCAAGTTTGCACTAAGGCAGGGTTCCTCAGCCTTGGCAACTTGAAGGTGTGTGGAATTGAAGTCCACACATCTTCAAGTCACAAAGGTTGAGGAACCCTGCACTAAGGGAAGGTCACTGAGTGATGTTGGGCCAGTTTTACGTCTCAGCCCAACCTACCACATAGGATATTGTTGTGGGGTAAAAAAAAAAAAAATACTGGAAGAGGAAGTGCTTCTGGCAGTTCATGATTCTGTTTTTAAGTGCACCTACAAAGCACCAACTCACTATGAAACTGCACCTCTGGTGCTGAAGATCACAACATTTAGAGGCCTTTTAAGATCTATGAGATTGGGGGCAGAGGATTTTTAATTTTTGAAATACACCCTAGGTATTCTGTGCTGTGGAAATAACACACCCAAAATTTACAAACAAAATTACCTCCCAAGTAGCACATAAACAAACTGATGACAGTTTTTTTATGTTTGTGGGGACATGTTTACATGTGTTAAATACTTACATGTTTTCTGTGCTATGGAGACACACTTACTGACTAAGTTAACCCCTACGAAGCACATAAAAAAAAATTACAGTTTTTGAAAACGGGCAACAACTCTCTATACACATGGTAGAGGCTGCACATAGAATTTTTTGGATTATGTCACAGACATTGTTCATGGACATACTTTAGAAAGAGCAGTCAGGTGGAGTTTCAAATGAAAGGTTTGGTTGGCCCATCCCATTGCCACCTTTTGAATGGACCTAATCAATACCTGTATGGCTCTTGGGGTGAGCTGATAATTGGAATATCCAGATTATGCCTCTGCAGTTAGAAAAATAGGCGTAATTTCTTTTAAAGTAGTATTCAATAAACAAGCTTTGAGTGTATTTGTTTTGCTTTTGTTTTATATATATTTTATATATATTTTAAACTGTGTCTGTCTTGTGTTGTCATCATTTCTTATTCTATGTATACTAATTTAACACCTTCTTTGATCCTTTTTATGTAAATGCATCTGTGCAGGTTTTATGTTCTCTTGCTATTATTATTATTATTATTATTATTATTATTATTATTAATATTATTATTAATTTGGTTTCTGCTTTAAAAAACCTTCTGTTGAGCATTAAACTTTTTTTCTCAGTTTATATTACTCTTCATGTGTCTTCAACATGTATCTTTTCTTTCTTTTTCTTCACATTCTAATAAAAGACAATTTTAAAAGGATATGGTCCTTAGTTTTGTATCAAAATCATATGTTAAAAACAAACGGGGAATGTGGTCTGTTTCAGTTCAATAACGTATGTGTCATACCCCTTTTAGGATTTTGTGTCAGTAAAGATTCTAAGAGGCCCAATGCAGTATATGGCTGAGTTAAGGAATATAATCCATAGGTTTAATCCCAGGAAATATAATCTCTTGGTATTCCTAGGATATTGCAATTGATCTTGATAATTTCCAGAGTGGAAACATGTCTTCTGAGATCTCATATTCAAAAAGATAGTTGAATAAACTTTAAAAACAAGGATTGGATAGAGACACAAGTGGGTATATACCCATTTTTTCCTTGTTGCGCGGGATGTGGAGTTGGAGTCATTGTACGGTATGAATTTGAGGAGTAGTGCTGTGTCTTGCCCGAAGAGACATTAAATAGACTTCCATATCTGAGCCAAGAGAATACTTCAGAGAGGAGGTATGCATCTGTATCAGTATTTCCCAACTTGCTGGCTTACTTTAATTTTACCCATTATAATACACATTTCTGTTCCTCTTAGTATGTATCCAAAAGATAAACTGTTTGCAGGGTATGAAACTGGGGGAGCTGGCTGGCTGCCAGAAACAAACCCAATTACTCACCAAGCTGTTTGGAAGGACTGGGCCTGGGGCAGAAGGAGTATTCTATCCTGTTCCTGATTGTGGAGGGCAGGACCACTAGTCAATAGCAGGAGTATCCAAGTACCAAAAGTCAAGTCAGACTTCGAACATGGATTGTGATATAGAGGCAACACATCAAGCAGAGTCAAGGGGAAGTGGACTCCAGAAATAAGTCAAGAGGCAGTAGTAATCCAGAAATCAGGGCAGGATTTAAGGCAGTTCAGGGGCATTTTTCAGAACATCTAGAAAAATCCTCATTTCTAAATGTAGATTAATCTTTTATTCATAATGCCAGTTTCTCACCTGAGAGCTTATGTCTTTGGATCCTTGATTTTCTGCCCTTCCTGGAGCTGGGCAGTGTTTTGGCTTCTTCCTCTGATTCTAACAAAGATATTTGGACCACCCAAAATTGCAGATTCAAAACTGCACCTTCAGAAGATTCAGAATTCTTGGACTCCATTAGTAACAGCTGCTCCCTAAAAATGAAGACTTGTCCTTTTCCTTTAAGGAGTGATCATAGATTCACAGAGACCTTTAAGGATTTCAAAGATATATTCCTGTTTGTTATAAATGGATTGAAGCTAGCAAGACCATTTGGAAAGTTTTTTCTAGTTGGGCCTCTTGGGGTGGCAATCATATATCATCCAGTATTACAACTGTACTTTAGCTACTCAGAAATTAAGAAATGTAGAGGAATAGGGCTGCTGAGGGTGTAGTTACAGAAAACTACCTTCTTTTAGCAAAGTATTAAGGCAACTATTAAATTTCTGTTTGAATTATGAAGTGCAATTCTCTGCAGTTTTAATCTTAACCTTCCAGTGCTACAGCACTAAACAGCATTTGGACCTGTACTGGGGAACTTAAACCAGCACCTTTTTCTTCTAAGGAGTTCAGACTTTATTCAACTATCTGGGGATTAGTAAAAAGCCATTCTATGCACTAAACAGCTAGTTTTGGGTGGTCCATGCCCAAAACAAAACACACATATTTTGGGTGTTTTGGTCCATGCACAGAATGGCTGTTTAATGCTAGGCAAAAGTGGAAGGAGTGGGAAAAACCAAGAACATTGGCAGCTAATAGAAAACTGGGGAGAGAAGGAAGAGAAGGATCTGGAAAGATTGGGCTGAGGGCAAGCTAGTGGGATATGCTGCTCTAGGAGCTGCTGAGGGCAGGATAGGGGAGAGGAGCTGATTAATACCCGGCTTGCCTTACTTAGCCTGTTCAGTTATGTACCCAGTATACCCTGTTGTGGATATTAGAGAAATTGTCCCCAAAATTATTACAGTGCCACAAGGGAAGTTTTCAAGTTACTGCAAACCTAGCTGTGTGTTGATCTTCTGAGTCTGCTCTTAAAGGAAGAAAGAAAAGATAAACTAATTGCTTATTTTGTTCTTTCTTCTGTTTCCTAAAATCCAGCCTAATCCATTCAGCTGGACCAGTGTTTCTCCACCTTAGCAACTTTAAGATATGTGGACTTCAACTCCCAGAATTCCCTAGCCAGCATGGCTGGCTGGGGAATTCTGGGAGTTGAAATCTAAAATTCTGGGAGTTGAAGTCCACACCTCTTAAAATTGTTAAGGTGGAGAAACACTGAGCTGGACAGTCAACAGATTTGTGGATACAAAGAATTACAAGTAGTAGCAGAAGACATCAGGAATAACTCACACATACACACACACAACCCCCATTCTTATTTTCCAAGAAAATTAGAGAAATAAAGGCCAACCTGAGTCTCAAATGCTTGACTGAGTCAGTTTGTAAGATGTAAGAAATTCAGAATGAGGGGATTTCCTTCTCTCTTTCATGCAGTCAGTAAGTCTTGCACACTTATCTTGCACATACATCCATTCTTTGGCTGGCTGGCTGGCTGGCTGGCTGGCTAGCAGATCTTTAACATTCAGTTGGCAAGCAGAGCTAGTGACTGGGAGCAAATCAAGAAAAGAAGGCTGCACATTGATTTTCAGGAATGAAAGCATTATAAAGCATACATAGTGTGACTTTCAGGTCTGGTTGAAAATAATCTAGTTTCGTTATTCTAATAAATTCTTGTGTTCTGTATTATTGTGTGAGCAGCACAAACTAAAGCAGAAGTGTTGAAGGTGAAAAGAAATAGCCTTTACAGGCATTGTGATCTCAGAGCAATTATTTGGGACAGAATGCCTTGAAATGTTCTCTTTGAGTTTTCTCCAATTAATTGGAGTGAGGCTCATCTTCTAGTCCCAGATAGGAAGAGTGGTAATTCTTGAAAACAGGAATGAGGAAGAAGTGCCAAAGAATGCAGATCTTGCTGCTCCAAAGCCTGGATGCCTTTAAAAATAGGGACTAATTACTTAGCTGATTGTATCCCTTTCTGTAATGCCTAAATAAGGCTTCTTCTTATCCCCATTTCATCCATTTTTTCCCCTTCTTTTTGATTGTATCCACTAGCAGGAGTGATGAGGGTTTGTGTGGGTGACTGAGGTCATTAATTTTGTAAATTATTTTACAGACAATTTATTTTACTTAGTTTTTATTACTTCATTCCTGGCCCTACCTTCCTCCCTATTTTTACATGGGCTTTGGAAAGTGTATACACATAGACACGCATACAGACATGTGTTCGAAGTTACAGCAGCGCTGAACAAAGGGACTTACGACTGGTCCCCGAAGTTACAGCCATTGCAGCACCCCTACGGCCACATGATCAAAATGTGGGCGCTTGGCAGCCCATCTGCACTTATGACCACAGGGGTGCTTCAACTCCCCCCACCTGCCTGTCTCCCCCCATCTATGCCCTTTTGGACACTCTGCGGCCCCTGCCACCCTAGCTGACCTTTGCTGTCTTCTTGCTTCGGCTGCTGACCAAGCACGCTTGGCCTGGCCCTTCACGAGGCAGCTGCTGGCCGCACGAGGCTTTCTTCCCCAAGTTGTGCACGGCAGTTTCCTCACAAGACCTGGGGAAGATGGCCTCACATGGTCAGCAACTGCCTCAGAAAGGGCCAGGCACACCTCATCATCAGCCGGAGCAAGAAGACAGCGAAGGGGCGGCAGAGTGCAGGGCGGAAGGGCCTCGGAGTACAGAGTAGTTGCCAAGAGCAACAACGAGGCAATGCAGTACAGTACAGTTCCTTTATTTGCTTGCACCTAATAGAATCTCACCAGACTAAACCTATGCTAAAGCAACTAGTGGATATAACTGCATGAAACCCTAGGGAGGGGCTAGCCTCTTCCTCTTTCTATTCCCACCCTCTTGCGGTAGACTGAGGAGGCTCTTGCTCTGGAATGTTTCCCCTCCCTCCTGATAACCTTGATCCTCCATTCCAGTATCTTCCTCGCCCAAGCCTTCCATTACAGTAGCGAGGGCAACTGTGGCTGGGACTGAGCTGGGGTGGCTGTGGCTTTGTGCCACACTGCTGGGCCAGGCTGGGGCTAGATTTTGCACTGCAAAGGGCTTCGCACCGCACTACGGCTCAGGGGCTTCTTGCAGCCCCAGAGCCGCAGTGCGCCAAGAAGCCCTGAGCCACAGCATGGTAATCAGCCATGTAGTTCTGGGGCTGTTTGCTGCCCCACAAGGCAGGGTGCAGGGCATCCAAAAGGAAAGAGATGGTGGGGAAATCGGCAGCTGGGAGGAATTGAAGGGGAGGCAGTCCCTTACCTTGGAAGAACAAAGGCTTGGGGCTGGGAGGGACCAAGGCTGGAATGGCTTGGATTGAGGTGGGTCCTCGACTAACGACCAGTGGAATTCACTTAATAATGACAATGGGGAATGCTGGGATTGCTGTCACTAAGCAATGCGGTCACATGACATCTTGCTTTATGACCACATTGCTTAGCGAAGGAAATTCCGGTCTCAATTGTGATCGTAAGTCAAGGACTACCTGTATAAGTGTGTCAGATATACAGATATTGGGGAAGAAGAAGCTTGAGAATTGCTTTCAAATGGCGTTGGCAGCCTAGGTTGACAACATGAGGAGTCAGGCATTGCACAGGGTTTTTTTTTCTCTCACTAATTTTTTTTTTTTTACTCTATTCTCCCTTTGGGAAGTTGATATCTAAAAATTGGGGTTATTTTTCTTTGCAATATAGCAGTTAATGGTAGAATAACTTTATCCTTCTATGTAACCAAGTAGGCCCTTGCTATGGGAAAATTTACTAAAACACATTTAATTTTGTATAGAACCTGTAGTTCTAAATTAACCATTTTTGAGAATTCTGGGTATTTACAAATGCCCTTGGGAAATTATGAACCCAGTGATTGGCCTGAAAGAGCTTGATGTAGTTGCATCAAGGAAACAGATCTGAGCTGGACCAGTATCTCTGGATGTTGATTGCAGCAACTGGAAAGGAAGGTGGGATGAAAATGCAGTAGAGGTTGTGGAGAGGGGGGAACCACACTGAATATGCTCACCACATCAAGGGAGATCCTGAGAAAAGAAGAATGTAAACATTTGCAGATTGGCAGGAAGAGCCCCTCGAAACCAATGTTCCCCATAATGAGTATAATGGTGCTGCTTGTATGTCTAATGGGAGTGCATCTGGACAAGACTTCCAAGTTGTCCTTTTGAGACACATTTTTCCAACAATGCAAAGAGATAACTGGGTTCCCCTGAATGTTTGGACCAAGTCAAAGGACAGTTTGATCATATTTGTAAATGCCATAAAATCGGTACAGAAAGTGGGACTGTTCCACAAGGAAGGCATGACCTTGACTATATTTCCCTGGCCCAAAACAATGTTTATCTAGAAGAACCATGGGATAATCCCTCCTCTTTTATCCCCATGTGTCATCACAACCACCTTTCATTCCTTAATTGGTCCTTGCCCACCAGCTTCTGAAAATCACTGAGCAATCTGGCCTGTGTTACCAAGTAATCACAAGATGAATTCATATCCTTGGCTTCTCCTTCCCCCCTCCCCATTTCCCCTTTGTTTGTTCCTCCAGGGAAAGTCACTGGCAGGCAAGCGTCTCGCAGGCTTGATGCAATCTTCTTGACAGCATCGTCTGGGCTAGCAGTTGCTGACATCTCCGGAAGACCGCTGCACTCCACCTCCTCGGCCAAGGAAAGACATTGGGGGCACACGGGTCACTGCGGGGGGTGTGAATGAGAGAGCAAAGGAGAGAGCACGTTCAGACAACGGAAGAAACATAGGGAGGGAAAAGGCTCTAGGATGGAGAGTCTGACCCACTGGAGGTTCCTCTTCCTGTAGTTTACATCAACACTTTTCTTACTTACACAGCTTTGTAATGGCACTGAAGTCTCTAACAATAAGACACTGTTTCTAATCTGATTTCAGAGGAACACCACTGCTGTCTAAAGGAGGCCAATCCAGGCAAAGGAAGAGAGCGAGAAAGAGCCATCAGTGTTATTTAAAGTAGCACTCCTAAGAGAAATCTGGGGAAAGAACAGCTGGTTGAGATCAGTCTTCAAAACGCAGGCGCTTTCTCATGCTCCTAGCTGCTACTGCTGCATGTCCACAGCCGTATCTATCCGTCTTTCACATATCTAGGTAGAGCTAACATTTCGTTCTGCCGAGCAGTAGATTAATAGTAATCTCTGACATGACATTAATGGCTCAGATGGCATCCTTTCCAAAGCCAGAAGATTTTCCTTTGTCTGAAAGAAATGTCACATGGTGAAAATGGTTGCCACCGCAGAGCTTAAATGCAGATTAAAAAATTTAATCCAAGGAACTGAAAGGAGCACCCAAACAATCTTTTCTTCATATCCACATGCAAATTTTCTATAGATACATGAGTCATTTGTCTTCTATCTTATAACTGTCTAGGTCAGGGTTTCTCAGCCTTGGCAAACCGGGAGGTGTGGGTGAACTAACCTCACAATATCCCCAACACCCCAACCTTCCGACGCAGGACCTTAGCTGTTGTTGCTTGTTCGC